CATATGCTGCTAGATAATTGAGTTGACTCCCCCAATTTACAAAAGGAGAAACAGAAACATCAAAAGTAAGCAAACTATGACTTTGACAGCTGGAGAGTTGGATGTATACATTAGCTGAACATTTTAAAAGCTGAAGTTCCTATCACCTTTACGTGGAAATTCAGAAGATGGTGTAAATACACATTGTGTCATCAGAAGGTTTCTTTGCAGTCAATAGAGAAACGCTAAGTCAATTTTACTAAAGAGTGATTTCTTGTTCCCTTTCTATCCCCATCTTTGGTTTATTTTGGTTGATATGAGAAAAAAAAGAAAGATTAAAATGAGATAAGAGAAAATTTGGGAAGCATTGAACAAGATAAAGAATTTGGGAGGAAAAATTAAGCACATCTTTTTACAAATGGAACACCCAGGGCTTAATTAGAAATATAAACGTTTTAAGCATTTATCAATGGCATAGTGTGTGTGTGAGTGAATGAGTGTGTGTGTGTGTGTGGGTGTGTGTGTGTGTGTATGTGTGTTGGGAGGGGGGTGCAGATTGATATAAATGAAAGCAATAGAATTAGACAAGCTCAAATATTTTTGACCACTATTGTTTGAAGAAAATTTTTCCCCCAATAAAAGTATACTTAAGAATACTCTTTAATAGACAATTTTTAAGTAAGCATGGCTGTGAAGCTAAGCATTTCTGAAATTCTTGTTTTGAAAGTGAAGAAGAGATTTGTAGCTTAAAAATTAATAATTCATTATGAAATATCAACCATTTTTGCCTTGGTTTCAAAAAAGATTCCACAGAAAACAGAGGTTTCCCTGAGGGAGAACTAAGGCTCCAGGTTCCACAGTGAGAAAGTGAGTAGTGAATCAAAAACCCTGGAAAGTATCATAATGCTAAGGAAAAATTAAACCTATTGATTTGATGAACTCATTTACATGATGACTGACAAATTATCCTCCAGGTTCCACTGCCCAATTTTTATGGGGAGGAGGGAGAAAGGAGACTCTGGTAGCTTGGCCTACTGTTTATGTGCTGCCCAAAGCCAGCGTAGCAAGGGAGTGGTGAAGGACTAGGGCTGCGTTAGAAAACATCCTCTGGGCTGGCTCTCTAGCTTGCTTTGAACTCTTGTTCATCGTTGTTTTATGTGGCAGCTTGTCTTTGTGTTGGTGGGAGGGAGAAGAAAAACAAGACTGCCTTTAGGTTCTAAACCAACTTGCTGCACTGCAGATTGCTGGAGAGGCTTTTCAAAGGCAAAGCAAGTGGGGACTTTACAATTCTTTGTCTCTGTGGACTAGGAACTGAGGGGGTTTTTTTGGAGGGGGGTAAATTCTCAGTAGCAAAAAGAGCTTTTTTTTTTTTAACATATCTTACATTCTTCCTAAAATATCCTCAGTATTATTTTTTTTCAATTTGACTGGCAGTTGGAGAAAAGTAGGAATCTACAAAGGGTGCGAGGAGGCCTCCCTTGTCATAGAATTTCATAACCGGAAGAAACCTGGCCATTATCCCTAACACACTCTTTTCTTGATTGTGACCTCAGGGTCCAAAGACATTAAATCAGTTGCTTAAGACTCCAACTCAGAAAGTCAGTAGACCCTCCTTGCTGGAGCCCCACTGCACCTTCTTTACATTGCCCTATGCTGCCTCTAGCGTTAGGCTGAGAAACTGCAAGAAAGAGCGGGGGCGAGAGAAAGCGAAGAAAAGCTGGAGAGGGTCAGAGATACTGCTAAGAGGGCAAAAAGTAAAATACCTAAGTCAGGATGCTTGAACATCTGCTTGGACGAAGAAAAGCAGCCTGCTCGTCCCAGGCAGTGTGCGCATGGAACAACAGCCCCCACTGAACATCTGTGATGCTTATTTTCAGCTTTGGAAGATCAGCCTAGAGAAGAAAGCTCATCTCTTTCCTCTGGCTCTCCACGCCTTCTACTTTTATCCAAGTGACTCTTTCCTCGGACATTTCGTGGGCTTGTTCCTTATAACACACTTCCTCACCTGTGTCTTAGGTGTTTTTCAGTCCTCTCTCCCCTCATATTTCCCAAGTTGTTATCCTGGGCTTTCTTTTTTTTTTTTAAATATATTTGTATTGATTTCAGAGAGGAAGGGAGGGAGAGAGAGATAGAAATATCAATGATGAGAGATAATCATTGACTGGTTGCCTCCTGCATGCCCCCTACTGGGGATCAAGCCCACAACCCAGGCATGAGCCCTTGACTGGAATGAACTCCGGACCCTTCCGTCCGCAGGCTGATACTCTATCCATTGAGTCAAACCAGTTAGGGATATCCTGGGCTTTCTTAAACTGTAAACTCAAGCTGGCACCTTAGGTGGATTCCTTATTTCGGGGAAAGTCCAGAGGACCATGCCTGCCACCCGCCTACCCTCGTTTAGACCCAGAAGGAAGACCCGCAAAGAGCATTTATGGAGAAGAAAGGGTGTATGTTGTGGCCGCTGGTGGGCAGCTAGAGAAAGTGGTAGAAACGGGGCAGGGGCCGCATCTGTGCCGGTGCGGAGGCGCGGAGTGGGGACAGCCTGCGTGTGCCCGGTGCCTTCCTGCCCTGGCGAAGGCTGGCACAATCACCGACCCGGAATCGGTGTT